AAATGAGGAATGAATTTGAAAATTGTCTTTTCAAGCAGCTATTATTTCCCCTTTTTCCCTCTTTTTAAAGGAAATAGAAAAATTGTGCTAAGACTAGTTCCTGGGGACCTCTTGACATCTGCTCGGGTCCTAGGTAAAGCTGTCCATGCAGTGAGGAGGAAGGGGCGTGAGCTTTGTCAGGGGCTCTGGAGGGATTTGCTGGACCACAATGGGATGTTATGAAATTGTTTACTAAGCAAATACACACGTCTGTAATTTTCATACTAATCCGCAGTTCTGGATGCTTATTACAATGGGTTTATTTTTCTCATCATTGTTCTCATTTTAGCCAAGATTATGGACGCAAAGGCAATTTAGAAGGACTTCTCAAAACCCTAGGATGGAAACAAGGAAGGGGTATTCCCACACAGCTAGGCTTTGGCTTGTGTAATGTTAGGGAGCTGTGTGTTTTTTAGCCTGATTGTGAACCGGAGATGAGTTAATTCATTCCATCTTATTATTGTTATGTTATTGTTGCTTCTCCTTCCCTGCCAATTAGATTTCCAAGTATTATTTCTTGTTCCTGACATCACTGTCCTGTGCCCATCCTGTTCTGAAGTTGATTTGCTGCATTAATGTGTCTGGCTAAGAGGGCTCCTTGTAGTTTGTCATTAGCCAGCTAACCTGAGTGAGGCTGCCCACTCGATGAGCCACTGAGAAAGGCTGATGGGTTCCAGGGACAGGTCCATGCTCTTGAGAACATGCTTGGTCACATTTCAGAGAAACTGGAGTGGGAGTGGACTTCTGAAGTCATGTACTCCAGCCTCCCACATAAGGCAGAAAAAGTCCTTCTCCGTTCCTGACAGTCATCCAGCTTTTGTTGGCACCAGACTCAACAAATACATTCATATGTATCCTAATAAACAGTCTGATGAAGGCAAACATTTTTGTGATACACGAGAAGAAAGGGAGTGGAAGAGATGGATAACTTTGAATATCTGTCACTCACTCACTTGCCTTCCTAACAATCTGTGAAATCGGTTTTATAATCCGATTTCACATATGAAGAGCCTAAGGCATGTAGTGGTTAGCTAACTTGCCCAAGTCCCCATTAGGAAGGGTTGGAGCTGAGAGTCAATCCAAGGTGAGAGTCAATCCAAGGGTTGGAGCTGAGAGTCAATCCAAGGTGAGCTCTGGTGCAGAGCCACCCCCTTCTCATTACATCAGTACCAACCTCTAACTAGAGCAGGGCATTCCTCTGATCCTGACGGCCTCTCTTCCATGCTTCAACTTCAGTGGAGGTCGCTCATCAGCTATAATTTTTCAAAGGATCCTGGGATGAAGTCAGTGACATTCCTGCAGGGGCAGGAACAACATAGTAGGAGCCTGGCAGTTTGATGGAAGGTTTCCCTGAGAACAGCTCAGAGGAGCCCTGTTCTAGAGAGCTGGCCTCTTCCTGGTTGATAAAATGGGGATAATGACACCTACTGCTCTGAGCTGTTGTGAAGACTGGAGAGAAAACCTGTCAGGACCTTGTAGACGGAAGGGCACCTGGTAGGCGCTCACCGGAAAGCATGGATTTCTTTTTTCTGTTACTGTGTATCTGCATGTTCCCAGCTTTGTGGTGATATAATGGACACAACACATGTAAGTTTAAGGTGTACAGTGTGATGATTTGATACACCCATATACTGAGAAACTAGAGGCCCGGTGCACAAAATTTGTGCACAGGAGGGTGGGGTCCTTCAGCCTGGCCTGCACCCTCTCCCAATCCAAGACCCCTCGGGGGATGTCTGACTGCTGGTTTACAGGTCTAAACTGGCAGTCAGACATCCCTCTTGCAATCCAGGATGCTGCATGCACCAGTGACCATACTTTTCATACAGGTGAAAGGCATCTTGCTGCTGTATGGGCAGCTACATTTTTTTTGTCTTGATTATATAAAGTAGTACATAACATGATCCTTTTGAGGCAGTAGTACCATTTTCCCCATCTTATGAGTGGAAAAACTGAAGCAGAGAGAAGTTAAGTAATTGGCTTTCTCACAGAGTTATGTGTCAGAATCAGGGCTGACCACAAAATGTGTAAGCCAGAGTCCATGCATGTCATCACTGCATCATCCTGTTTTTTCACTGTTGAGTAGTCTTTCCAGGTTTTAATTTTTAAATCTAAGAGACTAGTCCCAATATATAGGATAGGGTCTCTAGGCCTGGCTGGTGATCAGGGCAATTGGGGGGGGCCCCCGCTGGCACCTGCCTTGGCTGGTGGCCTGGCACTGCCCATTTGCTGGCCCCACCTCCCACCTACCAGTCATTCTGCAGGTCATTCTGCCATTTGGTTGATTTGCATATTAGGGTTTTATATAGATAGATGATTACAACAGGGTTAGCTTGCACCTCCATCCCTTCACATAATTACCATTTTTATGTGTGTGGTGATAACATTTAAGACCTACTCTCTTAACAAGTTTCAAGTATTTGACACAGGATTGTGATTTATAATCACCATGCTGTACATTAGATCGCCAGAACTCACTCATCTTAGAGCTGGAAGTTTGTACCCCTTACCAACAGCTCCCCAATTCCCCCACCCCACAGCCCCTGACAACCACCATTCCATTCTCTGTTTCTATGAGTGGGGCTTTTTTGGTTCCACCTGTGAGGACATACAGTGCTTGCTTTCTTTGTCTGACTTGTCTCACTTAGCATAATGCCCTCAAGGCATTCTTATCTTTTATCATTATTGTTGTTACTATTATTAGTTGGTAGCAATGACTAGCAGAGTTTTCTTATGATTTGTTTTTCAAGAGCAAAACTGAATCGTCTCTTGAATATTTCACTGTCATCTTGAGCCTTTTTAAGAATCAGATCCTACTGTCATCTTGAGCCTTTTTAAGAATCAGATCCTACGGACTCATAGCTCTTCCTTTGAAGACAATCAGCACAATACATGATGGGAGCATGGTGGTGCTCCATTCAGCTGCTGCTCACACCCTGAAGGAGGCTGGGACTTCTGGTCAAAGGGGTCCCTGCAGATGGTTAGGGTTTGTGGGTTTGTTGTTGGCCTTCTTCTTCTTTACTTAGTTTTAAGTATTTTTTGTTAGATGTAGATTTCTTTTTTTAAATTTTTCTTTATTGATTAAGGTATTACATATGTATCCTTGTCCCCCCTTTGCCTTCCCCCCCCTCCCCCACTCATGCCCTCACCCCCCTGTTGCCTGTGTCCATTGGTTAGGCTTATATGCATGCATACAAGTCCTTTGGCTGATCTCTCCCCCTTACCCGCACTCTCCCCTACCTTCCCTCTGAGATTTGAGCACCTGATTGATGCTTCTCTGTTTCTAGATCTGTTTTTGTTCATCAGTTTATGTTGTTCATTATATTCCATAAATAAGTGAGATCATGTGATATTTCTTTCTCTGACTAGCTTATTTCGCTTAGCATAATGCTCTCCAGTTCCATCCATGCTGTTGCAAATAGTAAGAATTCCTTCTTTTTTTACTGCAGTGTAGTATTCCATTATGTAGATGTACCACAGTTTTTTAATCCACCCATCTGCTGATGGGCACTAAGGCTGTTTCCAAATCTTAGCTATGGTGAATTGTGCTGCTATGAACATAGGGGTGCATATATCCTTTCTGATTGCTGTTTCTAGTTTCTTGGGATATATTCCTAGAAGTGGGATCACTGGGTCAAATGGGAGTTCCATTTTTAGTTTTTTCAGAGGTCATATATCCTGGCATGAAAAATAATTCCTAAAACAATGTTTTTAAGAAGAATCACAGTTTAATTTGGTTATTGCTGGGAATTTAAAGTGGAATTATGATTCAATTTAAATTTCCCTCTTGGTTCTCTTATGGCTATACTGCCTGGGAAAGGAAGGGAACTCATTGGCGGAAGAGAACAGAGGTAATGCCTCATGTGGTAGAAAAACCATTTAGACCCCAAAACTACAGGGTGTCCCAAAAATGTATGCACACTTTAATTATAAGGGCAGTAGTTATTAAAATACGTTTAATTTCAAAGTGTAATAGAAATGAGTTATTAGCCGAAACCGGTTTGGCTCAGTGGATAGAGCGTCGGCCTGCGGACTGAAAGGTCCCAGGTTCGATTCCGGTCAAGGGCATGTACCTGGGTTGCGGGCACATCCCCAGTAGGAGATGTGCAGGAGGCAGCTGATCGATGTTTCTCTCTCATTGATGTTTCTAACTCTCTATCTCTCTCCCTTCCTCTCTGTAAAAAATCAATAAAATATATTTTTAAAAAAATGAGTTATTAAAGTGTAAATACATTTTTGGGACACCCTGTATAAAGGAAAGGCCAACACTGTTAAGTGTTCTAAAACCACTTTTGTGTATTCAGATAGTAAAGAGAATTTTAAAATGAATGCAGTAATATTTGGCTAGAATGCAAATGTGTCCGTCTAGGTAAAAGGGAAATGTTACCACACAGTTTCTTCTGCCTGTGTCCTCGGGGATTTTAAAAGTTTGGTCACATACGTTTTGCGCAAGGAAAGCACGGCTTGGAAGCTAAGATGCCTAGACGTGCACGGGAGCCAGTACATAAACTGGAGTGAGCAAGGGTTCGAGAGCAGGCGCCAGCAAACGTATAGGGCGCAAACGTTAATATCTCAGGCTGCTCAGGCCACCGACAGTCTCTGTCGCAACACGAGAGCAGCCACAGAGGATCCGGGAAGGAATGTGCGTGGCTGTGCTCCAGAAGAACTGTATTTACAAAAACAGGCGCAGGCCATGGCTTGCCGACCGCCTCTGGAGGAGCCAAGAATTGGAAAGAAAGGTTAGCGCCTCCAGCACCCGGCTGAGGAGCTTTTATTTTATTTGCTGCAAGACGGAGGCTTTCAAAGCCCTGCCATTGTTAGTGCTCTGGAGGGCCCCGTGTGGAAAGGTGCCCCTTTTGTCCTCAGATGCCGTCCGAGCCACCGTCAATGTTTGCCACGGAAGTGAAGCTGTCTCCTCCGGCAGGTGCTGCAAGCCGTGCAGTGCAGCTCTGCTCGCCCCCCCCCAGTCCGCGAGAATTTGCATGTGGGCACCTCATGTCAGTTGGGCTGAGAGGAAATAGCCGTTTATTCTTGGTCTTCTGACACGAATAAGGATGGGCCTCATTGCAAGGGACAAGCGACTGAGTATGGTTAGGGAGGAGGGTGTCTACGCCCACGTTATTGTTTAACTGAGCCCTAAGACCCAGGCCTTGCAGATTTGATCAGATACCTGGGAAATGCTGGCAGACTAGTTCGTCAGGGGCTAATTCTACCCGACATTCAATTCAGTTTTGAACCCTGTTAAGAATCCGGTCAATCTGGTTGCCAGGGTTAGCCATAAAAATCCAGGGTTCCCGCGCCGCTGAAAGGCGGCGGCTCGCTGAATGAAAGGCCGCGGCGGCGGCGGCGGCTGAAAGATGGCGGCTCCCGGAAAAGCAGCGGCGGCGCGGCGGCTCGCTGAGTGAAAGACTGAAAGGCGGCGGCAGCTCGCTGAAAGACTGCGGCTCGCGGAAAAACGGCGGCGGCCCGCAGACAGATGGCGGCTCGCTGAAAAGCAGCGGCTCACGGAAAGACAACGGCGGCTCCTGAATGCAAGGCGGCAGCGGCCCGCTGAAAGATGGCGGCGGCTCCTGAATGCAAGGCGGCGGCGGCGGCTCGCTGAATGAAGAAAGACTGCGGCGGCCCGCTGAAGGACGGCGGCTCGGGTGGGACAGTCGCCAGGGATGGGCAGCGTGAGGATGCAGCGGGGGGTCAGGGGTCAGGGCTGCTCTCCTGGACGCTGAGCAGGGCCCTGCGGCTCCCGGGCGTTTTTGAGCGGGGAGCTGCCCAGCAGCCCCAGGTCAGGGAAGAGGAAGCGCTGGAGGTTTAGGATTTGATTCCAAACATCCGGGACCCAGAGAAGCCCAGTACTGTGGATGAACCGGAAGTAGTAGCGGAAAGGTGCGTGGAGGTTTAGGAAGTAAATGAAGAGGACTATTTGGCTACTATCAGGTTCATGTCAACAGTACCTCATTGCTCTTTGGCAGCTCCTCCTGGGCCGTGCTGAAGAGTCAGACTTAAGCGTTGTTTACCGGTTAAGCATAAGATCCCTTTAAGGCGACGGCGCCTTCTCCGGGTCAGACTACCGGCGGCACCAGAAGCATGGCGAACCCCGGAAGCATGGAGGACACCGACCTGTTTATGGAATGTGAGGAGGGGGAGCTGGAGCCATGGCAGAAAACCAGTGATGTCATTGAGGATTCTGTAGTTGAAGATTGTCATTCAGTGGATACAACGACCACAGTGTCTGTGAGCCAGCAGCCAGTCTCAGCGCCAGTGACCTTCGCTCTCTATGCCTCCTTTGCTGGGTACCTCTCTATAGCCACCACCGTTGGTAGCAGCGGGACACAGAGCAGCGACGGTTCGAAGAGGCCTCTCGTCAGTCTCGCTGCCGATGACAATGCCGAGAGGAAGCGGTGTCAGCAGAGGCCTCTCGTCAGTCTAGCGGCCGATGACAATGCCGAGAGGAAGCGGTGTCAGCAGACGATGTATAAACGGCTACTGGTACGGGGTACCTCGGCCGCGGTAAGAAGCCGGCGGTATCGACAGAACATGTCTGAAGCGCGACGATTGGCAGAACGGGAAAGAAGACGGCAGCGTCGACAGAACATGTCAGAAGAACAACGACTGGCACAACGTGCCGCGGCCGCCGAAAGAAGCCGGAGGTATCGACGGAATATGTCTGAAGCACAGCGATTGGCAGAACGGGAAAGAATCCGGTGTCGCCGACAGCAGGCGTATGAAGAACGATTGGCACGTGAAGAACGATTGGCACAGCGTGCCGCTGAGGCTGACAGCAGCCAGTCAGCGCCGAGCACTACCGGGACTGGCGGGAACAGCCTCCAGAGCGGAAACTAGGTAAACGAGGATGCGATTACGGAACACGGTTGTGGTGGGATGTAGCACATGTGGTGTCTGTCACATGTCCATTTTGCCTGTCCCGAAATTTCTCCCAGGAAATGGAGTTATTTGTTGCTTTCTCTCGAGTTCGAAGAGCGTGTGACGTTCAAGTTGTAAATACTTTGTCACCAGGGAAATTAGTCAAGCACTCTGAACTGTTTTTACTCTTAATGTGGTGTACAGGGAGGGAGATATTAGAATAAGGTTAATCAGCTTATCAGTCATTGTTTTTATCAGTTGTTTTTTACATCATCTTTTTGTTGTTTTCATATGTCTGTTGTTGTGTCATGTTATTGTTTGTTAATGAATTTATATATTCTTTTCATGCACATTTTACCAATTTTCTTTCATCTCTGACACTTCTATTGTAGAGAAAGGGTGAATAGCAATATTAAAATATTTCTTCTAATTAATTTCCTTCCAATGTGCACCGGGCCACTAGTATTGAGATATTTATAGGTGAAATGATATGATCTAGAACTCATTTCAGAATAATATGGGCGCTAGTAAGTGGGTAGAAGGTATAGATGAAACATGATTGGCTAATTATTGAAACTCAGTGATGGTACGTGGGATTCATTATAGTGTTCTATTTTTTACATATATTTTAACTTTCCCATAATCAAACATTTAAATTTAAAATATATATAGTCAGTAAGTTGCCAGTATAGTTATCATAGGTAAAACTTGTTGGAATTTTTTATCTGTCAACCTCTGTAATCACTACTCTGCTGGCCTAGTAACTGTCAGGGTCTAGTCCACTACTGGGCTCTCAGATTCTCGGAGACTGTGAGACAAACCACTGGTGGCCCATTAACAGCCGCCTACATACCCCCTCTGCTGGTTTTGCTTTGTAGCTAACTGCAGTGACTCCATTTGCCAAGTTGAACATACAGTTCAGAGGAGTCCATCTTATTCTGGTGACTTGAGGTCAAAAAGTTGAGGCATTATGTGCTTTTATCTTTGATTTAGATATATTGGCTCCCCCAAATTTTCTGTCTGGTTTTAGAATATTTGTAAGTTAGAAAATATAGTATTGAGAATGTTTTTAGCCAAATGTAGTATATGGAGGACTTAAAAACATTTACAAAATTGCTTTTCTCACAAATGAAAAAGAATGTAAAAAATATTTCAATAACAATTAGCCCAGTTTATTAGTATGTGTTTATTAATATTTATTCATGGATGAATCATTACCTTATTAAGTCATCATTTTTACTTAATGCTGTTTACCAGGTCTTTCCTTCATCAGTCTTGATGACATAAAGAGAAAGAAGGCAGCCTATCAATCTCTGTGTTTCCATACCTAAGACCATGTTTGTTTAGAGAGTCTTCTGCATTTCTAAGATTTGACTCACTAGGAAGAGATGCCATTCTTTTATATATATATATATTTGTTGATTTCAGAGAGGTGGGGAGAGAGAGAGAGGGAGGGAAGGGGAGAGGCATTGATGATGGGAGAGAGTCATTCATTGTTTGGCTGCCTCCTGTGTGCCCCACATTGGGGGTTGGGCCCCCAACCTGGGAATGTGCCCTGATCGGGGAATTGAACCATGACCTCTTGGTTCATAGATTGATGCTCAACCCCTGAGCCACACCAGCTGGGTGAGATGCCATTCCTTAAAGTCTCTGTACTTGCTGAGTTAATGCTTATTGATGAATATTCCTCTTATTACAAAAATTAGGTGATGGGGACGGGCTAGAAGGGGTCAATGGGGGGGGAAGGGGGAATATATGTAATACTTTAAACAATGAAGTTTTCTTTTAAGTAAGGTGGGTTAGCAGCAAATTACATTCTGACAAAATAGGTGTTATCTAGTTAAAATATGGTGTTCTTGTTTTTTGTTTTAAGAAAAACATGTTATTTTATTTGTAAGAAAAATAAACTTATATGTTATTTTGTTTTGTTGGAAAAAATAAAGAAACCTCTCAAGATAAAAAAAAAAAAAAAACACAACCCAGGGTACCCAGTGAAAATGGCATCTTATCTAATAAAGAGGGACTATGCAAATTGACCACCACACTGTAACATTCAAGATGGCTGCGCCCACAGCGGAGGCAGAGTTCCCGTAACGAGCCTTAACAAGCAATCAGCACGGACCTGAGGCTGTGTGGCGCTGGGCCGGGGCAGGGGACCTGAGGCTGCAACCCCTGCCTGGTGGGGCTTGACAGGGGACCTCAGGCTGTGCCCCCTGCCCTGGCACCAGGCTGGGGGACCTTGGGCCGTGCCCCCCCGACCCCGCTCGCGGAACTTGACAGGGAACCTCAAGGCACGCCCCCCGCCCTGGCACTGTGCCGGAGGACCTGAGGCTGCGTCCCCCGCTCCAGTGTCGGGCCGGGGGACCTCAGGCCACACCTCCTGCCCCGGCGTCGGGACAGGTGACCTGAGGCCACGACCCTGGTCCAACAGAGCTTGACAGGGAACCTCAGGCTGCACCCCCCGCCCGGTGGGGCTTGAAGAGGGTGGGGCCGGCTGGGTCTGGATCTAGCCCAATGGGGGTGGGGCCGGCCTGGTCTGGGTCTCTCGCAATTTCGAGGTGCACGCGGGTGGGCGGGGACTTGACTCTGGGTCCCGCAGGGTGCCCCAGACTCTGGCAAGAGGAAGATTTTCATATACATTTTACTAATTTTCTTTCATCTCTGACACTTCTATTATAGAGAAAGGGCAAATAGCAATATTAAAATATTTCCTCTAATTAATTCCCTTTTAATGTGCACGAATTTTGTGCACCGGGCCACTAGTTTCAGATAAACAACATATTTTAGTCTCACCATGTCCCATTCAATATTTGGGATGTATGTTTACTAGAAATGTATTTGTTGTTTATCTAAAATTCAAACATAACTGAGCATCCTATATTTACTCCAGCAAATCTAAAATGAAGATCAAGGATGAAATAGTTTTCTGCAATATTTATTGCATCATTATGTCAGCTTATTAGTTATCCTTCACCAAGATTGTGTGGGGTTTTTTTAATTGTGGGGAGTCTAATGACAGTCAAATCTCATTAATTCCAACTTTGCTGATTTAGAATTTTTGAAGGCTTATGCAAGGGTTCTGCTAAAGTGCACCCATTTGTCATTCATAGTACAAACAAACCTGAAAGAGAACTATTTATCTCCTTGGGAGACTACAAATAGTGTAATTACAATTTAATCAGAGGCTATCATCATTTGGACTGTACTTTTCATTTAATAATTATAGATCATTCTGTCATCTATTAAAGCAAGACAAGACTTTACCAGGCACAGTCAGGTGCAGCTGCTTCAGCCCCCACAGCCCCTTGCATCCCACCTATCACGGATACACAGTCCGTTGGGCTCTCTAGATTCTAGAACCTCACACAATGCTCGCTACTTAGAAAGCACCCTATAAATGGTTGTTAATTGCATTCATGAATGAATGCTAATGACACATGTTAAAATAATCAAACTGTCTTTGTTGCTAAACATCTTACATTTTAAATTCAAAAAAATGATTTGAGTTGGTCTCCCCCCTTATTTCAAAGTTCAGTTCATAAAGGGATTCTTTGGTAAAGTTAGTTTCATTGCACACTGGGAGGCTAGCACTGAGAACATGCTATTGAAATTCTGAAAGTGTTTTATGAGAAGAGAGAGAGAGGGGGGCACTTACAAAGTCATCCTGAGCACCTTTCTGAGCATTCTTCTAGTCTAGGACCATGGGTCTCAAACATTACCAGGCTGCTAATGATGTTGGCAAGGTTTAGCCTGCGGTTTTCCTTACGTGCCCCCATTTTTCATGATCATGAACACACACACACACACATGCATGCACGCACAAATACATTTCTGTATATCTTCCAAAGAGATGGAAGGGGATTCTTTTGATTGGATACCAAGTATGGCAGTCGCTGACAAATAATACATTAATAATTTAAAACAAACATGTAGACATTAACACATTCTAAACCACATCTGTAATATTAGAGACCACTATATAAAAGCCAACTGAAACACCCTTGAGTCTACCACTCTTGAGGGAAGTGAGGCCTGAGTGGCTTATACATGGGCCAGAATCTCTATGGCCAGGCAATGGTCGGCATCCGGTCTTAGAAACATACTCAGATGAGGCTTGTTCTCAGTCTCCACCTGTAGCTTATTTCTTGTCCATTTCCTCCAGCAGAGAAAGGAGTGATGGGAACCCGGAGACTGGGAGTGAAGTCTCCCTCCCTGTTGCTAACTAATCCTTCTCAGTCTTTTCCCTAGCAGTGCAGCAGCCTTCAGGAGGACAAGCTGAGTACAGGTCCGTGGTTCTCAGATGTGATCCTTTCTTTTTGGAGAGTTAAGTCACGGCCTGATGATCCCTTTTGTTTTCCCTTCTCTCACAGCACCCTGGAGGGGTATTACGTGGATGACGCCCTGCAGGGCCAGGGAGTTTACACCTATGAGGATGGGGGAGTGCTCCAGGGCACCTATGTGGACGGAGAGCTCAATGGTCTGGCCCAGGAGTACGACACAGACGGGAGACTGATCTTCAAGGGACAGTACAAGGATAACATTCGGCATGGACTGTGCTGGATATACTTCCCAGTAAGCCCTGCGACTGCTCATTTTGCTTTAAGACAGAGCTTTGACTCTTCACAATAAAGAGTCAAATGTATTCTCTACGTAAGAAAATGTGAAGCTGTGAAACTTGAGAGCGAAGCCAAGAGTGTGGGAGCTGCGTCCTCTCACTGTTACTCCCTTCTGATTGAGGTTGTTGGCCCTTCCGTCTACTAGGAATTCCTTTTCAGCATTGTTTTGGAAAAGAGTGATTAATCATGATTAAAGCAAGTTGAGACAAATTGGTTGTATTATATCATTAATAAAGATGAAAATATATTATTTCTTAAAGCCTTTGATACAGTATAGAAAGAGATGGTGGAATATTCCGCTGTTGCATTTAATTTTATTCCATTGCTCAGATGTCAGAACTAATCCAGCAATTTCTCATCTTTTTGGAGTTTACTAAAGCAAAAAGATGTGGCAAAATCTCCGGTTGGGAATTAATACTCTTATCTGTTGTTTGCATTTCAAATACCCCATCTGTTGTTGGTGAGTTTCCAGAAAATTGTTCAGAAAATAGACCGTAGAAAATATTTCATCTAATGTTTTATTTTGTCCAGAGCTTCAATCAAAATACATTTTTTTCTTACTCTGAACTCTATCTTCTTATGATTAAAAGGTATTCATAAAAGTTGTCTGTTACATGTGTAAGAAGAAAAGTAGTCCTGGCTAAATCTACTTACACATTATTGTTCTTAAAATGTAAGTTATGTTCTAGAAACGGGGCATAAGGAAAAACCATGTAAAATATTGTTTTTATAATTACTGAAGCCTTTACACACGTTCTTAGTAGGACCTGCAACAGATCATAAGTCCTTTAGCTCCTGCCTAAAGCGGCAGGAAGAGGGACGTGGTGGAGGCGCTTGTCCCGTAGAGAGACTAACATTGTCCTGCTCTGGGAGGAGGCAGAGTGGGTGTCTTGCTGCCGATGTGACAAGGATTTTTGAAGCCAGGGAAAGTGGACCGCCCTGCGTGCGGATGGGTGCAGGGAAGAGCAAACTATGGATTAGCAGATTCTCCCGCTACCTGTCATTTTACTCGAGACTGTGATCAGTTAAGTCCCTAGGGGACATCGAAGTTGCACTAAGTGAACAGGTCTACCTTACTCCATGCAGTTGCATTTTGAAACCTAAATGTGCAGCTACATTTTAGCCCTACCCTCTTATTAAATGCCAAGAAAAGACCCTGCCTTCGGAGCGAAGCCCTGGAGAGTGACAAGCTTGCACAGGAACTTGGTTGACACTTGCTTTCTCTCTGGTGTTGGTTGGCGGTGGAGGGCGCTAATCCCACCCCAGGCCTCTAAGAAATAGGCATCAGTGGCAGGGATGTGGGCTTTATTATGGCAGCGTGGGATTGGAGGTGTGGTGTGGGCTTCTGCCTTCCCCTCTGAACTGAGCACGTGGATCAGCCACAGACAGGGCAGCTAGGAAGCTATAGGTTTCCCTGGAGGAGCAGGACCTGCCTGGGGCACTTCCCCAAGGGGAGGGGGGCTTGATGCTGTTAACCCCTTACCCAACAGCGATATGGGTGTCAAAGGGTGTCAGAAAAGATGAGCCATTGAGCAACACTCCCTGACACAGCAGAGGAGAAAGTTCTGGTGACACAGTCCAAGCAGGAGCAAGGGGAGGAAAAAATAATGATTCTCCCTGCAGTATTATAAGCTCACTCTAAGGACAGTTTCTTTCAAAATTTTACCTTGGAACAGTCATGCAGAGTTTTTAATTAAAAATTCATAACCCCTTTAGGAAATAAAAATCTCTGCTTTATCAATCCAGGAAAAAATTCACTTGCCTCCAAAACCAGACGCTTAAAGCATTTAAGAGAAAAAATGGTGAGACCCTAGCAAGACAGAATAAATAGCAATGTTGGCTTTTATTCATTTTGGCCTGTACGAAGCACAAACACCCTAACACCCGTCAGCTCAGTCATCACCAAAAGCCTGAAGACAGATTTTGCAAAAAGGATCATTCTCCTTATGCTGGGTTGTTAAGAAGTGACTCGGGAGGAGAAAGAGCAATACTATATCCCTAATGCACCTTCTACCCAGAAAAAACACTTCCCAGTACTGTTCTTTGTATGGAAGTGCTGGGGTTAGTTTTTTTAATTCATAACCGTTTTTCTCCAAAAAGCAATTAGGCTTCAGGGAACTGTACACCATGTCCCCAGCATTACGTCCTCCCTCTGGCTCTCAGTCAGAGCAGCATGGGGGTCACGCAGAAGTCACCCTACATCACTGACTGTGGGTGGCTGCTCCTAGAACCTCCCAGGTGGGGAAATAACCAATGTCTGGCATTACTGTTGTTATATCAGACCCACCAAGGTCTTAGATTTTCAAAGTCACCCCATCAGGACCTTCTGAGTGGCAAAAAAAAAACAAGAAAAGAAAATGAAAATCTCCTACACCTTTAGATTATTTTTTAGATTTTTGGGGTATCCCAGTTCAATTCTAAAAGTATTTATGGATCCCCTACTGTGTCCCTGGCACTTACCAGGATGTAGAATTCTGACAGCCTCTGCCCTAAAGCATTTAATGACCCTTAAGAAGGGAGTAAATGGCAGTTAAAGAGGACGCACAGCTGGCTGCAATCTGGGAAGGAGGCCCCCGGGAGCAGTAAATAGAGAAGAATGGGGGAACGACAGTGATGGGGAAGCAAGTGCAATTTCGTTGATCTTTTTTCACTCTTCTAACTCCAAGTTATCCAGAGGTCCCTTTATTTATCTCTTAGAAAACGCAGCCAGCTCTTTACTCGTGCACACTAAATTAATTCTTACATACATTTGAACTAAAGATTTTCTTAATTGACCAGAAATCCAAAACTCAACATTGAGAAGTGAGATTGTATGGATAGTAGATAAGACTCACTGCATCCAATAATGACCCCAAGTAGCATTTAGTTCTATGTCCTTTCATTGCTTGTAACTAATATTACAAACAGGGCATATTTGGTTCTTAGATAACAGACTAACATGGAGTCTCCGTAACTTGTCCCGGGCCATCAAGGCGACTCAGCCTCTGCCGCTCTAACTCGGGCTTTGCACCGTTTGTTCTCTGGGACTGGATGTGGTTCTCACTCATGTGAAGAGCTCTGAGTCCTTAAACCGCTAGGGTCCATGTTCGTGCTATTCACCAAGGGGGTGCACAAGAGAAATTTCTTGAAACGCGTGTCACATGGATCAATACTCTATGTAATTTTTCTGGATTTTGGTTTCTCCCGTCAGGATGGAGGCAGCCTGGTAGGGGAAGTAAATGAAGACGGGGAGATGACTGGAGAGAAGATAGCCTATGTGTACCCGGATGAGAGGACTGCACTGTACGGGAAGTTCATTGACGGAGAGATGCTGGAAGGAAAACTGGCTGCCCTGGTGTCCACTGAGGAGGGCAGGCCACACTTTGACCTGATGCCTGGAAGTAAGTTGAATGGGCCCTAGGTGGGCTGCCCTACTGCCAAAGCAGGTGGTGAGGGCGGGTTTGAGAGAAGTTTGTTTCTTTGGTCCACTCAAATGGTGTATTTCCAACCGCGTTAAGTTATAAGAAGAAAAAAGCAGACAAGATAATAAATGTGGGCATCAGTAGGCCTCAATAATCATTAGGTATTTATGATCTGAAGAGATTCTCTAAAGGAAAGTTGTCAAACATAGAAATTCTAGCATTTTGTATTGAGGTCCAATTTGAGTTGTCTTAAATGTATCATTTTTTAATCTTTGTTTTTACTTTAAGTTAAAAATTAAGGCCATCTGAATGCAATGGGAGGGGTTGGATCTTGGTACAGAAAAAGGACATTAGTGGAAAAACTGGTCAAATCTGAATAAAGCCTGGAGTTTAGTTAATAATAATGTAGCTATGTTGGGGTTTTAATTTGGACAAATGTACAGGGTAACATTAAAAAAAAACTAACATTAGGAGAAATAGTGAAGGGCATTGGGAACTCTCTATACTATCTCTGCAACTTTTCTGTACATTTAAAATCATTCCAAAATCAAAAACATTTTTAAGAGAAGCAGTAATCTTTGAACTTCAGATCCTAATATCTGTGCTCTTCACATATGTTCTGAAAGGAGACAGCATCCTAATGTTTAGAAATGAGGAAACTTGGGCCAGAGGATCCCACCCAATTGATGATGTAAATTTTAAAACTTCAGAAGTGACAGCATTTTTAGTGGCAAGATCCTTGAACTTCAGAGTCACTTTATTTGCAAAGAGGGTAAAGGGGGTCAAATATATGGTGATGGGAGGAGACTAGACTTTGGATGATGAGTTGTAGACCTGAAACTTACATAAAGTTATTAACCAATATTACCCCAGTAAATTTAATTTAAAATTTTATAAAATAATAAATAATGACAATGGGGAAATGTCACCTAATTTGAGTCTTAGCTCCAATGTTTACTGTATTATATTCTTGGGGAAGTTATTCTCATTTATCTTTTCAGAACCTGTGTCTTCATTATAAAATACCGATCTTGGCACCTACCATAAAATATCATAATGAAAGGTCTTGTTTTTACATTCTTCTTGGTATTAGTAAGAAACAGATTTTGGGAAGCGAGAGTGATCATTCTCAGGGGAATGATGGTTTTTCTTAGAACTCGTGGTTGCAAATAACAAACACCCTCATCAAACTAACTTAAGGCAAAAAAGGAGGAGGAGGGGGAGAAGGAAGGAAAGAAGGGAGGGGGGGAGGGGGGGGGAGAGTAGCGTTTGCTGGCAAGGTCTGGCAGGCCTCAGCTTTTTTTTTTTTTAATATATTTTATTGATTTTTTACAGAGAGGAAGGGAGAGGGATAGAGAGTTAGAAACATCAATGACAGAGAAGCATGGATCAGCTGCCTCCTGCACACTCCCTACTGGGGATGTGCCCACAACCAAGGTACTTGCCCTTGACTGGAATCGAACCTGAGACCCTTCAGTCCGCAGGCCGACCCTCTCTCCACTGAGCCAAACCGATCAGGGTCAAACGGGTCAGGGCAGGCCTCAGCTCTTTAAAGGACTGTTAACAGCTTGGGTATCAGGAGGGTCAGGAACCAGGGCTGCTTTGCACAGGTCTCTGATGTTTGCCACTTTGTTTCTCCCACTGCCTCATTCAGCTACATTTACTAACCCACGGGCTAACCCATAGATCCTGGATCTTGTCTGACAGGGTCTAGTGGCCATCTGGCCCAGCAGTTGGGGGAGGGAGAGTAAAATGGAATGTAAATCTCTCACCTGAAACACTTCTGGTCTGCCTCCCCCCTGACCTCACCACCATACCTTTTCTCCTTAGGCTTCTATAACCACAGGCTGCTTCTGGGTCTCCACTGGGTTCTTGCTGATTTCCTCATTATGCCTCTGGCTGGAACTTCTCTCCATCTCTTCTCCTCTGCACATAGGAATCCCTGTCCCTGGCTAGTTCCTGCTCCAGCTTCAAGTCTTGGCTCATCTCTTAGAATTAATGTTTGTCAAGCCAATGAATGGCTTAGTCCAGTGGTCAGCAAACTGCGGGTCGCGAGCCACATGCGGCTCTTTGGCCCCTTGAGCGTGGCTCTTCCACAAAATACCGACTTCTGCGCATGGGCCATGAAGTTTCAATCGCACTGTACATTTGCGCCCGCACGTGGTATTTTGTGGAAGAGCCACACTCAAGGGGCCAAAGAGCCGCATGTGGCTCGCGAGCCGCAGTTTGCCGACCACTGGCTTAGTCAAAGGCCCTACTGTGAACTGTAGAGGAGAGTAGGAGCAGAAAAGGATGCCTTTTGTCTGCCTGGAGCATCAACCTGTCTAAGGGAGTGAAGGAAGGGATGGCAAGGGTTGGAAAAGGTGGCACCGACTCCTTGAAAGCAGGAAGAGATGTTACTCCTGCCTGTATCGGCACAGCCCCTAACACAGTGTTTTATATGTGGTTGCACTTGGTCTGTTTGTGATAAAAGTGTTAGTCCAAGGAAAGGAAATGGAAATTTGTAAGAGGATATTTGCACAGTGGAACACATATTCCACAGAAAAGTGGTTGGGGTTTTTTTCCTTTTTTAAACTAACTTCCTTTAATGGAGTGTGTGCTGGCCCATTACCAGCACGCTCACAGAAGTGTGCTCTCAGATACCTGCCTCGCCTCCCCCTGCCCTGCTTTTCCTGCAGGGGTCTGCCCTCGCAGGCTGCATGTCCCGGGCTCCTGTGCCTCCTGCTTCTGTCTGGGTTTGGCCACAGAGAGTCATTGGCTGGGGACACAAGAGGGAAGGGAGCAGGAGGAAGCCCTCTCTTCCCAGCAGTGTCTCCAGCAGGGTCCTGCCTCCTGATTCTATCGTCTACCAGAAAGGTCCCCAGGGTTCTAGCTTCCTTGGGTTACCCTAGCTTTAGAGCTCCAGGAACCCCAGCTCTAGAGCTCCAGGAACCCCAGCTCTAGAGCTCCAGGATCCCCAACTCTAGAGCTCCAGGATCCCCAGCTCTAGAGCTCCAGGATCCCCAACTCTAGAGCTCCAGGAACCCCAGCTCTAGACCTCCAGGATCCCCAGCTCTAGAGCTCCAGGAACCTCAGCTCTAGACCTCCAGGATCCCCAGCTCTAGACCTCCAGGAACCTCAGCTCTAGACCTCCAGGATCCCCAGCTCTAGACCTCCAGGAACCTCAGCTCTAGACCTCCAGGAACCCCAGCTCTAGACCTCCAGGATCCCCAGCTCTAGACCTCCAGGAACCTCAGCTCTAGACCTCCAGGAACCCCAGCTCTAGACCTCCAGGAACCTCAGCTCTAGAGCTCCAGGAACCTCAGCTCTAGACCTCCAGGATCCCCAGCTCTAGAGCTCCAGGAACCTCAGCTCTAGAGCTCCAGGAACCCCAGCTCTAGAGCTCCAGGATCCCCAACTCTAGAGCTCCAGGAACCTCAGCTCTAGAGCTCCAGGAACCCCAGCTCTAGAGCTCCAGGAACCCCAGCTCTGCGTTTGTTCCTCTACCTTAGGGTTGTGGCTTCCTGCTCTTGGCAGTTTCTGGGCTCCACAATGCCGTCTGGCTTCTCAGCGCTTCCATCCTCTGTGTAACTATTTCCCTGAATTCATCTCTTTCTTTGAAATATGCAAGTGGTCTGCTTCCTGGTTAGACACTGACTAACTGGATTGTTTTCTAACTTTTAGTTTGAGACATTAATTTGGGTTTTGATTGTGTTTAAAGCACACACACACACACACAGAGAAAGAGGACCTGGTGACCATTGGGAACTACTAAAGAACTGTTTAATGGAATTATTTGTGATGCCTTAGTGCCTAAAATAATTGACTTTGCAGGAGCAAGGCCTCTCGTTCCAAAACTTGTTTCTTTCCTCATTAGCCTTTGGAGCATCATCTGTCTTCGCTGGGCTCCAGGAGGATCCTCTGAGGCTAATCCTTTGCAGGGAACCAATGTTAGTTCTAGGACGGCTGTTAATTCCAGGACCATCGTTTCTGGAATAAACTACTAATTGGCTTCTGAACCACTTTAATAGAAATAGGATGACTTTGTAAATTCTTCGTCAAAAGCAGTTCTGCTCTTCTTAATTCTGGTGAAGCCAAATGTTTATTTTTAGTGAAGGAGGCAATTGCCAGGGCTGGGTGGCTGGATTCTACAGACTGTCTAGTATGAAGAAAACCACAAGAAATTTTTAAAACCATTATCCAATCTGATCTGACCAGAGAGTTCTCAAAATTTCACAACAAAGCATTTTCTTTATTAAAATATTTTCATTACAGAAGTATTTTTTAAACTATTTTAATAAAGACATTCCAAAAGAAAAAATAGCATTTACTAGTAAGAGATACCTGTGATGGCTATTCATTAATACCTGAAACTAAAACTTAAGGGCAAGTCTAAAAACTTTCCACTTATATTGAAGAATTTCATTCTAGTTGGTATAACTTGAATAGCATTTTTTGTTATTTAACTCTTTCCAGTCCCACGGATAGAGAGAAATGTTTTCAATGTTTTCCCGACTGTACCTGGCCTGACATTTTTGTTTGCATTTTAGGTTCCGTGTACCACTTCGATAAGTCGACTTCATCTTGCATTTCTACTAATGCTCTTCTTCCAGACCCGTATGAATCAGAGAGGTAATTTTCTCCTTGTGGTTTTAATGGCCCTGTTTGTGGGAGGTGAAATAGCCCTCGTGATGGGAACCCATGACCCTCTGTGGCTCGCTGCTCAGGCCGAGTTCCTGACCAGAAAAAAAAGTTCATATGTTCTAAGGAAGAGTGTTTTTATTCTCATTTAGAATCTGTCCCTGTAAGAGCATGTCTCCACCCATAAAGCCCAGAACAGCCCATGTGTCTGTCCTAGAATGAAACCTCTCCATAGAGAGGCACTCGGGCCAGGTGGCCAGCCCTGCCCTGCCCAGGTGTCCCCTTTCTCCCGGCTCTGGTGTCACAATTTGTGCTGCAGCCGCATGCTGGCCCCTCGGAGAGCATTTCACACTGTTTAAAGCTTAGCTTGGCCAAGGACCAGATGCCCTCTTTTCTACTCAGCCCAGCTGAGAGGGTGTGAAACACAACATAATTTATTCACTAAGGGAGGACAGGAGCAAAACAAAGAAAATATAAGAAGCATAAAAGCATTCCAGCCTATAAACTACAAGTGTCTAGTCTATAAGCTCACTCCCAGAGTGTGAAGTCCTGCTCCATTTCCTGTCTTGTCTAAACTCAGTTTCTAATTCTTGGTATGACTTCTGGTTCCCTGCTTGGGGTTCGTACTCCCCTAGCAACTGGCCAGTTGATAAGTAAGAGCACCATCTGCAGGTGGTTCTCTTTTGGCCTCCCTTTTTGTAAATCTGGCTTACAAAGCATGTTTCCATTCCACTTCTATTCTGTTCCCGTCTCTCAGAAATAGGTCTTTTCCCTGGTTTAACTGACAGGGCTGACCCCACAATGTCATAATGAATGACATGAGGTTCTGGCCCATTTACAAAGGGAAGGGTTTGGTCACTTGTTAGCTCCGAAACACAACAGCATATTGCCGTATGTATCAGTCTATTTTGTTACTGTCATTGTGATGCTGCTGCATACTGATATCCTCAAAACTATCAATGGTTTATGGATGTAAACCTTCTATTTTGCACTCGTGGTTCTGTAGATTGGCTGAGGTTCAGCCACTCTTGACTGGGCTCAACTCAGCTCAGCCGGACTAGGCTGGACTCCAAGTTTCAAGTTGGATTCAGGTCTGTTTCACGGGTCTTCATTCCAAGACTCGGGCTGAAGGAGCAACAGCCCCCTGGACCATCTTCTTCTTGAGGAGATGATGGAAACTCCGGAAAAGGCGGGCAGAAACTTGCCATGCTCCCTAACACCTGAGACCTGGCATGCAGTCACTCCCGCCCACGTTCCTGTAGAAAGCAGGTCACAGCTAAGCTGTGGATAGATTTTATTAACTGTTTGTCACTCTTCCATATAAAACATTCATCCGGGGATTTAATTTAAAGTCTTTCCCTCCTATTTAGCTCTGACAAACTTGGGTATAGCTTAATTAGCTTTGGGAAGTATATATATATATATATATATATATATATATATATATATATATATATTTGTCCAAGAAGAGAGTGAAAATTGACCTTAACTAAAAAAATTTAAAATTTTTTAAAACTTATATCAAGCACCGAGTTGCTTTATGAATATATCACAACAACCCTCTTATTAGAGAGCAAATTTTAAACACCATTCTCAAGAGATACATAAGTACCAGTTCTTCAGTTTCCAATACCAGAATATTGTGGTTCAACTTTTCCTTTCTTCCTTCCTCATTGGATTACTATGAACTGATGTTTTGGATTCAGTAGCCATATGATATTTTGGTGGTTGATGTAAGGAGTCCATCAAAGATACATCAAACTTAAAGAATCATTATTTGCCTGTTTTTGCTCTTTAGGGTTTATGTTGCTGAATCTCTCATTTCCAGTGCTGGAGAAGGACTGTTTTCAAAGGTCGCAGTGGGACCTAACACTGTTATGTCTTTTTATAATGGCGTCCGCATTACACACCAGGAGGTGAGTGAGGTGGAAGTGCAAAATCAACTTGATTGGTCCAAAGGCTTTGTTTCAAACTCCCTTAATTTTTTCATTAGTCCCTTTAACTGTAGTATTCACTAGAAATACAAAGGAACAAACAGGCTTTTTTGTAAAATTGATTGGATATTGTCTTATAGCAGTCTTTGGATTGCTGTAGCAAAAATACAGTAGACTGGGTGGCTTATCAACAACATACATTTATTTCTCAGAGTTCTGGAGACCCCAAAGTCCAAGATCAAGGTGTGAGCCCACTTCCTGTTTCATAGAAGGTCCCCTTTTTTCTGTCACCTCACATGGCAGGAAGGATGGTGGAGTTCTCTGGGGTCTTTTATAAGGGCGCTAATCTCATTCATGAGGGCTCTGCCTGCCCTCATGACCTAATTACCTCCTAATACTATCACATTGGGGATTAGGCTTCAATGAATTTGGGGGAACAACACAAACTTTCAGATACAGCAGATATTTTCTTCCTTATATCGAGCCTTAAAGTTATTTTTTTAAACTCCACAACTATTTTATAGAAAGTGGGATGTGTCAATAAGATAGTAATTGCTTCGTACTGGACTATACCCAGTGTCTGAAAAATTGCGGTCCATTTGGACTCTGTCAGACTCTAACTTCTGACCTTGGGCAGGGTGCTTTGTACGAAGACCCCCTCCTTCTGTTTGTGCAGAAGCCATACAGTCGCCTACATCTAGCCAGGAAGGGTTCTACTGCCCCCTGCCCCCAAAAAAATTAAAAATAAAAAGTTAAAGAGTTGGATCACCTCCTTTAAGACACAATCTTTGATATATTTCCCAGATTTCATATTGTTTGTTCTTATTTCTTCACTTTACAAATAACTTCCTTAAGTATCTCCCTAAAGACAAAAAGTTTAATGCTCTTAGCACAGCTGTATTCCACATTCTGACTTGGATTAAGCGTATGGGACTTAAGCTCTTATGGTGGTGAGGTGCCCCCTTGAAAGAAGGCTTCAACTCTGCTTTGTTTGGGCAACTTAAAAAAATAAATGGATGTGTGAAAACTTGAGTTTGCTGGTGGTCTTTTGAGGTAACAGGTTTCAGCATGCCGTGAAAAAATAAACATAGGAACATCTGGTCATATTTGTGTGTCTTTGAAAGAGACTTTCCATCCTTCTTTTCATATAAGATAAGGGAAAATCAATAAATAATAAGTTGAGCTCCCTGGTGATGGCCACGGATGCCTTTTGCACCATCAACACCAGAGCAATGCCTTAGGCTCTTTTCATGTTCCTGGCAGTCAGACCAGGAAGTTTCAGGGCAAGTGAGTCAATATCTCTGAGCTTTGGGGAGAAAGGTCCTCTCTGATGCTCACTTGCATGGTTTTTGCAGGTTGACAGCAGGGACTGGGCCCTCAATGGAAACACCCTCTCCCTTGATGAAGAAACCGTCATCGACGTGCCTGAGCCCTACAACCACGTGTCCAAGTACTGTGCCTCCTTGGGACACAAGGCAAATCACTCCTTCACGCCAAACTGTATCTACGACATGTGAGTATGACGCCCGGCTGCTGGGCGCTCTGTGCCTCAGGCCCTGAGTCAGGAAAGCATGTCACAGGTGTGCCCAGCCCCAGAGGGGGCTGCTCCCTCAAAATACCTGAGGGTCCCGTGCCCAGGGCCTCACGGTTCTGACTTGAAACTCAGAATCTATATCACCACCCTTTGGCCTGGGCAGGCAACGAAATGGAAAGTGCTTTGAAGAGGAGGAAGGCTACGGAAATACTGTATTTAGTAGTTGCTGTTTCACGGTGGCTTTTTTGCTCTTCGTTGTCTCATTCTGGAAAATTAAGGAGAGTGTTATTTGAAATGATAGTAAAAATTGAAATTACTCTGCATAATGGAGGGTAAGGAATGCTTTCATGACGTGAAAGGAAGGAGAGACTCCTAAGCGTAGGGCACGCACGAGGTCTCGGTGTTGTAAAAGACCTATAAAACCAGAGTCCCTCTTATTTGACAATAAAGAGGAATGAAGTATTGACAAATACTATGACATGGATGAGCCTTGAAAACATTATGCCAAGTGCAAGAGCCTGTCATGAAAGACCATTTACATGAATTGTCCAGTACGGCCAAATTCCTAGAGACCAAATGCAGGTGAGTGGTTGCTCAGAGCTGGGGGCAGTGGGGAGAACTGGGGCTTGATGCCTACTGAAAATGGGGGAGCTTTTTAAAAATGTGATAGTGGTGATGAGTGCACCACTGAAAACCACTGCACTGCATACATTAAATGGGTGGATTTTATGAGATGCAAATTATATCTCAGCAAAGCTGTTGGGGTTTTTTAAAATCAAATAATCCTACCTTCCCCTTGGGGTTTGACTCCTCTCCCAACTGCTCAGGGGACCTCTTCTTGGAAACCTCTGTTGACGGGGAGCTTGCTGTGATCCACAAAGGTGGCTGTCTGGACAAACAGATATTCTGAAATTAGTTTTGGTGCTCTCTGAATGAATTTTATTTTATTTTTTGAGCCCAAATAGGTTTCCCTGTAGCATCAGCTCTTGTCCCTAACCGTCTCCCTTTCTGGTGCAGCATGTCAATCTCTCTTCCACATAGTAGCCCTACAAATATTTCAGTAGTTTTATGCTCTCCCTGAATGTTCTCTTCCCAGAGTCAAGTGTCTCTGTTCCTTAAAGGGTACAGTTGGGATTCTCTGTACTGTCGTCACTGCTGTCCTTGGCTGAGCGTGAGAATGGCAGCTCTTCCTGGGAGCCAGGACGCCTGCCACGCAACCTTCCTGCTCCTCTGTAGCTTGCAGGCAGTCCCTCAGCCCTCCAGCTTATTGACATTAACGGGATCAGATCACGTGCATTTAACCTACAGGAAAATTGCCAGGATTTTGACTGTCCCTTCTTACATCCCTGAGACAGCTTAACAATTGTTCTGGCTGTGACTTGCTTTCCTTGGCAGTCAGCAACCAGTACTGAAGCTACAACTTCTTTTTAAAGGGCAGATAGAAATGGCAATGCGTGTGTCATGTGAAATGAAACTGACACTCTTATTAACTCCAAGGCTTTCGCGGCCAACGTGAATTAGGCCAAAGCATCGTTCCAAGCTGCACACAGCTTAACAACAACCCTTTAAAGCAGTGGTAACAACGATAATAAATGCTACTTAGACTGCTGTTTTAAAACAAATCAGTTCTGTGATTTCACTGCAAAGATAATTTTTTTTTACCAAAAAAGAAGAGGGAACAGGAGACAAGAGAAGGAACCATTTGTGCAAAATCAAGTCCCTGTATTCTTCAGGGTTATTTTTTCAAGCCCAATGTGACCAATTAGTTATTTAGGGCAGAGAGACTCCCTGAAGAACAATCAAATATAAAAGTCAGATACTGATCCATGGCATTCATTTGTTTCTAAACTCAGTGGCATTGTTATGCACTCGACACAAACAAAACGACACGCCTCTGTAAGCTGTTTTAACCGTAGTCGGGTACAAAATGCCCAATGGACAGTCAAGAACTACTTTCCTGGCTGTAAGTACAGGTGACGTCGAGAAGGAGCCAAGCGGCTGTGCAGCTAACGTTTACCACCACTTACTCTAGGTCAGCGGGTCCTCCCAGAAACTGAATGGGGCAACTCCAGTCACTGTCCCAGATCCCCAACAGGAACCGCAGGCCTCTGGGTCAAAGGAGTTAAGAGTTCTTGTCCGTTGTGTTTTAGTACCGCCTTGAAGAACCAACAGCTGAAGTTGAGTTCTTTCTTTTCAGTCTGTCCATGTTCTACTCTAAAAATAATGATGGTGAGCAGGAAAATGAAAAGAGGATTCCAAGAGAAGTCATAGCTGCTCACGGGATATTTATCCTGCACCAGAACATTAACTAGAACTCCATTTCAGGAGTATTATTTTTTTTAATATTTTAATTTGAGAAAGAATTGTGATTTTAATAAGGAATTCCTGAATCCCTTGTCCAGGGGTCTGCTCTGTGAGGGAGCACAACCTGAGAATTCTGTGCATGTGCACATGCTTATGCACATCACACGCTCTCACGCGTGCACAGATTCTTATGCACGTGCACAAGCTCTCACACCTGCACAGGCTCTCACACGTGCACAGGCTCTCACACATGCACAAGCTCTCACACGTGCACAGGCTCTCACACATGCACAAGCTCTCACACGTGCACAGGCTCTCACACGCGCACAAGCTCTCACACGCGCACAGGCTCTCACACACGCACAGGCTCTCACACGTTCACAAGCTCTCACACGCGCACAGGCTCTCACACGTGCACAGGCTCTCACACGTGCACAGGCTCTCCCACGTGCACAAGCTCTCACACCTGCACAAGCTCTCACACGCGCACAGGCTCTCACACGTGCACAAGCTCTCACACGCGCACAGGCTCTCACACGTGCACAGGCTCTCACACGTGCACAGGCTCTCACACATGCACAAGCTCTCACACGTGCACAGGCTCTCACACGTGCACAGGCTCTCACACATGCACAAGCTCTCACACGCGCATGCTCTCACACATGCACAAGCTCTCACACGTGCATGCTCTCACACGTGCACAGGCTCTCCCACGTGCACAGGCTCTCCCACGTGCACAGGCTCTCCCACGCGCACAGGCTCTCACACACGCACAGGCTCTCACACGTGCACAGGCTCTCACACGTGCACAGGCTCTCACACGTGCACAGGCTCTCACATGTGCATGCTCTCACACACGCACAGGCTCTCACATGTGCATGCTCTCACACACACACAGGCTCTCACACGTGCACAAGCTCTCACACATGCACAGGCTCTCACACGTGCATGCTCTCACACGTGCACAGGCTCTCACACGTGCATGCTCTCACACGTGCACAGGCTCTCACACGTGCATGCTCTCACACGTGCACAGGCTCTCACACGTGCACAGGCTCTCACACGTGCACAGGCTCTCACATGTGCATGCTCTCACACACGCACAGGCTCTCACATGTGCATGCTCTCACACACACACAGGCTCTCACACGTGCACAAGCTCTCACACATGCACAGGCTCTCACACGTGCATGCTCTCACACATGCACAGGCTCTCACACGTGCATGCTCTCACACGTGCACAGGCTCTCACACGTGCATGCTCTCACACGTGCACAGGCTCTCACACGTGCATGCTCTCACACGTGCACAGGCTCTCACACGTGCACAGGCTCTCACATGTGCATGCTCTCACACACGCACAGGCTCTCACATGTGCATGCTCTCACACACACAGGCTCTCACACGTGCACAAGCTCTCACACGTGCACAGGCTCTCACACGCGCACAAGCTCTCACACGCGCACAGGCTCTCACACGCGCACAGGCTCTCACACGCGCACAGGCTCTCACACGCGCACAAGCTCTCACACGCGCACAGGCTCTCACACGCGCACAGGCTCTCACACGTGCACAAGCTCTCACACGCGCACAGGCTCTCACACGTGCACAGGCTCTCACACATGCACAAGCTCTCACACGTGCATGCTCTCACACGTGCACAGGCTCTCACACGTGCACAGGCTCTCACACATGCACGGGCTCACCATACTAACTAATACTAGTTGATGCCTCACTTTGTGCCAGGTACTGTGAGGTGCTTTAGATATGTGACCCTACTTTGTCACAACATCCACTCATGTCGGATAAGGATTACTGCACGTGAGGAAAGTGAGATTCAGACTTAGAGCTGAGCTATCCGAGAGGAGGCACGATCATGTGTGGAACCAGGACTCACGTTAAAGTTTTCTGACCCCCAACTCAAAGGTGCTTTTCGGAAATATGACCCCTGAGTTGGGTAAAAGTAGGGGACCCCTCGAATGAGGTTGACATTGGTCCTTTTAACCACACACGATGTCCTTAAGCCACAGCCACACTCCATTCCCGTCACTGACAGAAGGAACCAGCCAAGGACATAATCATGACCAATGTGCCAACCTGACTTTAGGTCTGGAAACTTCTCCTTTGATGTCTCAATGCCCTTTGTTCAAAATGTGACAGTAAATGCATGAGACTTTTGACAAAGCTCATTTCTCTTTGGCTGTGCCCCACGCACCCCCATTTTGGGTTTCGGCAGCTGTTAGGGGAGTCCACTGCTTATTTATTTCCTGTCCTGAAGCGAGCTGGCGGGTGAGCTGGGTGAGAAGCCTTGACAGAGGACCGTGATACGGCGAGTCCTGCCTCTGCTTCTGCGGGACTCGGGACTGGGTCGGTCTGGGATGAGAGGCTGCCCCTCACAGCAGGCTCTCCGGGGAACTGGTACACAGGGTGGCAGGGAGGCCTAGCTTTCCCGCTCAGAGAAACCTTCATCTACACGTTTGCTAGAAAAGAATACGTCCTCAGATAAACAATCCAATCAAAAAATGGGCAAAGGACCTAAATAGACACCTTTCAAAAGAGGACATTCAGAAAGCCAAGAGACATATGAAAACATGCTCAAAGTCACTAATCATCCGAGAGATGCAAATCAAAACAACAATGAGGTACCATCTCACACCTGTCAGACTGGCTATCATCAACAAATCAACAAACGACAAGTGCTGGAGAGGATGTGGAGAAAAAGGAACACTTGTGCACTGCTGGTGGGAATGCAGACTGGTGCAGCCACTATGGAAGACAGTATGGAGTTTCCTTAAAAAACTGAAAATGGAACTCCCATTTGACCCTGTGATCCCACTTCTAGGAATATATCCCAAGAAACCAGAAACACCAATCAGAAAGGATATATGCACCCCTATGTTCATAGCAGCACAATTCACCATAGCTAAGATCTGGAAACAGCCTAAGTGCCCATCAGTAGATGAATGGATTAGAAAACTGTGGTACATCTACACGATGGAATACTATGCTGCTCTAAAAAGGAAGGAACTTTTACCATTTGCAACGTCATGGATGGAACTGGAGAGCATTATGCTAAGTGAAATAAGCCAGTCAATGAAGGAAAAATACCACATGATCTCACTCATTCATGGATAATAGAGACCATTATAAACTTTTGAACAATAATAGATACAGAGGCAGAGCTGCCTCAAACAGATTGTCAAACTGCAGCAGGAAGGCCGGGGAGGGTTGCGGGGCAGGAGGTAGGGGGGTAAGAGATCAACTAAAGGACTTGTATGCATGCATAGAAGCATAACCAGTGGACATAAGACATTGGGGGATAGGGGAGGCTAGGGGACTGTCTAGGGCGGGGGGATAAAAATGGACACATATGTAATACCCTTTGTAATACTTTAAGCAATAAAAAAAAAAAAAAGAATAAAAACAAAAAAAAAAAAAAAAAAAAAAAGAATACGTCCTCTATCTGTATGGGGTGGAGTACAGAGCTTTTTGCTTTTGGAAACGCACAGGGCCCTTTCTTGTAACTCCCAATGCCCTGGTAAAGCCGCCCCTGCCCTCCGCCAGGTACAGCCAGGTAATCGATGGTACAGGCCAGGTGAGCTGAAATGCGGGCAGGCTGCGCTGGGTTCAATTTCTCATTAAGGATAGACTTTTGTTGTTGACTGTGAGTGCTGGTTTATAAGTACGGAGTGCCAAATATGCTCACAAAGGAAGATAGAGCAGTGCTTCGGAAACTCTCACGTGCCTGGGAATCACCTGGAAACTTCTTTGATGTCTCAGTGCATGCCTTTGTTTAAAAGGAGACAGTAAATGCATGAGACATCAAATGCAGGCGCCAACCCTGCAGGTCTCCACGGGGCTGAGGTTCCCCTGTTAGCGCCTCCTGGGTGATCTAGGGACCCCACGTTGAGGACCTACATGTGGTGTCCGGGAGGAGCACGTGGGAGATTCCGCATCAGCCCCCACACCCCAGCCTTTGCTTCTAACCTGCCTGGGAATGACTATGCACATCTTGATGTCTAGGTTTGTCCACCCCCGTTTCGGGCCCATCAAATGCATCCGCACGCTCCGAGCAGTGGAGGCCGACGAGGAGCTCACCGTGGCCTATGGCTATGACCACAGCCCCCCGGGGAAGAGTGGGCCCGAAGCCCCCGAGTGGTACCAGGTGGAGCTGAAGGCCTTCCAGGCCACCCAGCAGAAGTGAAGGCCAGGCCCTGGGCTTCAGAGACCTGGAATAGGAACTTGGATCTATGCACTATGTTCATCCAACTACGGGACAACCAGGGACTGCTCGTGCTGTGACATCACACATCCTCTCACTCTGCGTTCGCAACAACCCCTTCTCGCATACTAACTAGGTTTGACTGTATTACTCATACCAGATTTAAAATTAGCTAGCCTCCCAGCGGCGTCCTTCTGAGAGGCATTGTGGAGCACTTGACGTAGACAGCAGGAGGTTCTTGGGTGGTTCAAGTCTAAATCTGGACCACATTCAGAGATGCCAAATGATTAGACTGAAAAAGGGAAAGGGGGCTTTTGTGTCGTTTTTAGTCAGTGGTTTTTCCATGATGTTTTTTTCCTATGGCCAATGCAAAGCGTGCTGTCACCACGCCTGCAGATGGGCCATATGGAAGATAGAGAATTACTACATTTTTATTCTCTAAATGTAGTATAATTTGCCTTTTAACCTTTGATCTGTATCTTGCAATAGAATGGCTTTGTTTTTTTCTCCCCTAGCAAACAGAACCCCACTTTTGAGCCATTTCACCCCTCAGTCCTGTTCCCTATCTTAGATATCTTTCACAAGGGAAAACTCCCAAATGGATTTTGTGTCAGTGCCAGTGTGTAGGTCTCTCTGGCTCTTTCTATATCATTGTTTCATTATTATGTCCTAATATTAAAGAACTGGCTCATAGAGCCGGGGTATTATTATAGAATTACTATTCTCGCATGTAAACAAAGATATCTTTGCATTAAGATGTGAGAAGAAAGAGTTTACTTTGTTTGCATTAAGTTTATGGAAGAGTTGTAATATATATATTTTAAGGAAGAAGAGAGGGAAATTAGTATTTCTAAGCAGTAACTGTGGCGATTTTGCAATATCTTCAATAGCGTTAGCAATTCTTTTCTCTGGGCATACACATTAAATGTACATAACATAGAGCAGTCCGGCTTGTGGCACAGTGCGCTGAATTCAGAAGTCAAATAGCAAGCTTGAATTCTAACACAGAGTTCACAAGTTGTCTTGTTTTTGTTTGTTTTTTAATCGCTACTATTAAGAGAGACATACTGATCACTAGGTACAAATCAACCCTTAATGCTAAAACTCTTCATCATTGTAATTTCAAAGCACTTACCTGCTTCAGAGCATTGTGAATTCAGAGTAACACCTGTATAGTTTTAAAGCAACGATATCAATAGCATTTCAGCCTTTTTGCAAGCCATGTGTAATCACGACTGCAGAAATAAGGAGAAAAAAAACCTGTTTTTAGTTTAGCTAATTAGGTATATTACATAACTGGGATTGCTCTGACCGAATTCGGAGAGCTTGGGGTTTCTGTGAGCGCCCTCACCACGTGCGATAGCTGGTCTTCCCTAGACTCCCCCACGGGGTGGCTGGGAGGTCTGCGGAGCAGCAGTGACTCCACCGGCAGCTGTCACCTGACCATTTTGGTCCCGGAAGCTGAACGGAGCCTTCCAGGCTGTAGCTGGTAGTGAGCTCTGGCTGAGGAGAGCAGGTTTGCTGGGAGGAGGACAAGAGCAAAGAACCCAGCAGAAGACGATCTGATAGTTCCTGTCCGTTACGCGTTGCTCTTAGGAAGAATCGCCCAGATGTGCCTGACCCAGGCTCTCACGGCCTTCGGTGCAGGCAGCCCCTGGGCACAGGACTTAGCCCTCCGCGCGGTGACAAAAGCCGCCCTTCCTCTTGTGTGCAGGCCAGGCTTGCGGGGCCTCCCTCCCCAGCAGGGCCGGAGCAGCTGGGCGGCCAGGTTTCAGGGAGATAAGCTGATGGTCCACATGAGAGGTTTCGGGGCTGCCAGAAAGATGTCCCACAAAGGACCGAAGATGCGTTCAGATTCGAAGGCACCAGGGTAGGATCGCTTCTATTCTGTAGGAAGAGGCCGCTCTGTAAGCTGACAGACAGGCGGCCTTGGGACTTGTGTTCTGACAGATGCTTTCCTTCCAATGGGTCCCCACGCGAGGGGGTGTCAGCGGGAGAAAGGTGGCTTTAATGAACCCCAAGGGGTTGTGCTGTGGAGTCAGGTCAGGGAGGGAGGTCAGGGAGAGGATGGCGGGGCCACACCTCCGAGGCAGCCACCCTGGGAAGGATTTCATTCCTGAGACTGCAAGGGGGTATGATTTCTGTCCTATGGGCTACTCTAATTACCCCATTCAAATGGGACTTTTCTTCTTTTACTTTTTTTTTATGATGAAAGGGATTGAAGAGTTGTAAGTAGTGAGTAACCAACCATCCATTCATTACGTATTGGATGACAACACTCTGCATCTAAAGCCCCGCAGGAAACAAACCCAGCAGAGCCTCTCTCCGTCTTTCTCCCTCCTCCCCTCGGGGTCTGCTGGCTCTTCTCCTGCCCTCTCCTTCCTCTTCCTCCCTCGTCTGTGACAAGGCCTGGTGTCTGCGCACCTACACCCCCAGCCGACCTCCCGCTCTCTCCCTCTCTCTCCTCTGTGCTCGCAGCTCCTCCCTGGAGGTCTCTCTGGCTCCCAGCGCCCTCTGTTCGGACCGCCCCGTCTGTCTTCCCCTCGGTGTGGACCTCTCTCCATTTACCTTGTGTCCCCTCTGGCTCTGTCGCTCCTGCCGTGCCCCTGCCACACGCACACACTCCCAGATGTGAGGCTCTGTCACAGGGGAGAGCGGGAGGAGGCCGGGGTTCACCGTGACCTGGAGGTAGGACCAGAAGTCGAGGGAGTTGACGGTCCCTAAGGAAGTAACTGGTGGGTAAGCAAGGGTTGTTCCCAGTTGGAGCCGAATCCTTACATCCGCTGCGGGAGGAAATGCGTCAGAGCCTCCGGGGCTGGTCGTGTCCTCAGCGTCCTAATCACAGCAGGAAAGGGGACGATCTCATGTCGAGGGGAATAAAGAAGTCACTTTTTGCTCACCCCCAAACTGGCCGGTGCCCGTGGGTGTGCAGCCCGCCAGGTCACGAGGGGATTCGCTCAGAGCCTCTCAGCCCAGCCCCTGCATGACCAGAACTTTCCGCAGCAGCTTTTCTGGGGTGAAATGTTACCTTGTGTTAGTTAGGAATAGGAACTCATCCGTGGGAGGATGTCCCCGAATGGACATCGGGACGGACTGACAAAAACAACTGTAAGAACTGAATTTCCCACGCAAAGAAAGGATGGAATTACGAGAGCAGGCCAGGAAGACTTGAGTTCTATAGGACCTGTTCTTCTGTTCACGGCTTCGTGCCTGGGCTGCCTTATCCAAGGCCTCTGTGAACCTGCCGGGGGCTGCGGTGAAACTTCTTTGCCCTCCGGAGGTTCTTCATGCTTGAAAAACGATTTCCTTCCCACCAACCATCTGAAAAGGCCCAGGTGGAGGCCAGGTGTCACCATCCCAACGTGCAGCTGTAATTGTTAAAATGGCAGGAACTGTGAACAGTGAATTCTGGGGTCGTCTCGCCAGTGAGAGAGACGTGGCACTTTAGTAACTTCCCTTTAATATAGAAAAGTTTCAGCCACTCACCTGCAAAATGCATTTAAGATCTGCCAAGAAGGTGAAGTTGTGTTTTGCTTTGTTTTAAAACAGTTGCCTCAGTTTCTGTCCTAAGAGCAGTGAATTAGAAGCCAGACATTTTTCCTTTTAGAAAAAAACGAGCAAAAACTATGTTGCAAAGCTGATGGTTGTGATGTTTCTTTGCCACAGATCAAAGGTTCACAAAATACATTAAATCCACATCTACTTGAGGTACCTTGATAGGTTGGGGTTTGTTTGTTTTTTCTTTGATCTTTCCCTTTAGGAGGCGGAGCCTCGGTGTACCTTTTTTAGTTTAAAAACTCTAAATTTTAATGGTTTTATTTTGCCAAATGTGTGCATACAGACTCAAAGCAATGAAACGATTTCAAGCCATACAACCACAAGGGTGGAAACCCTGTTCACAAATTTTAATGTGTTCGTATGTAAATAGATGTTTGTATGAAATATTTTCATGGTAGAATGACTATATTTAAATGAAGTTGAATTATTCCAGTGCTGTTTAAACAAATTACAAATTTTTTTGGTGAGATTTATCTGAGTCTATTGAGATACAATGCAGATCAATTTTGATTTTTAAAAATCAAAAGCCTACAATTAACTCTGACCCGAGGCAACTTCCCTGCGTTGTTGCACCTGATGTGGAGAGAGCTTGTAGGCTCCCCAGTGCCTCAGCCCGTCCTGGTGTAAGTTAGGTGCTCGTGGAGGTGTCCACGCTTCAGCGACATCACTCCTGGCCTCTGGGGGCCTGGGGTGAGTTCAAGGCATTAGAGACACTGGTGCATTTTATCCAGAGCACAATTTCTTTGCAGGGCAGCAGAATCAGAAGCCAGACGTGGCCGTGTGAACCTCAGAGCTGGGTTTTCTGGCCACCGTCCACCGCCACCCTTACTGCCTAGTCACACACGTCAGGGAGGCTGCCCTCAGTGGAGTTGGGGTTCAGACCCCGGGGTGGGACTTCACGGTGTTGCTAGCAGCCCCTGCCTCCTGACCTCCGCCTCGCAGAGAGGAAGGGGGAGGGCGCAGCTGGCAAGGGGCCCGTTTCTCAGCACAGAACCTTTCCTGTCTCAGCTCTGGGAGACTATGCACGTCAGCACCAAACTTCCAGCCAGAGAGAGACGCCCTCGGATCACGCCAATCCTTGCTTCCTCGTCTGTGACTTCAAGACCAAGACCAATCACACCCCTGGGACATACCTCCCAGCTCCCCTAAAACACTCCTTTACAATGGTTTTCAACTTGAGTGGGGTTTTTCTTTTTTCTGCTTTGGTCCTGGATAGAATGACATGACCAATTTTATGAAAAAAATTTCACTGTGTATACTAGCAATATGTCCACACATGCCACTGTATCTTAACATTGGCTTGGTTACATTTTGGGTCACTGTAATTAATCTTGATTCATGGACTAGGAAATACAGGGACTACGTAATGCCTGCTTATCACAGAAGAAATTAGGCTCGTGGTTCTGAGCTCCCTACTTCAAAAGTTTTCCTCCTGGTTTTCCTACCTTCTCTTTTTATTGCATTTATGAGGTTGTGAGGTATGTTTACGGATTGGAAGCCAGGGGTGCACTTTCAGCATTTATTGCAACCAAAAGTTAACCGCACCACAGTTAATGAGCATCTATGACTGGTCTTCTGTGGAATTTGATCTAAATCTATGAGCCTTATTCAATATCTATAATTCTATGATTTTTTAAAATTATGGGAAATTAATGAAAGATGTTTACATGAATAATGTTTGCCCTTACTGAGTTATGAATGAGTTTTTTTGTAGTGTGTCTGGGTGCATGTGCAAGAGAGTAGGAAAAATGTTTCTGAAACAAAACTTGACAAATATTTGTAATGAAAAGTAAATTTGAAGATTGCTATAATTGCGCTATAGAAACAATGCAAGTATTAAACAAAATATACAATCATTGCCAGTGTCTTTCTTTGGTCGTCAAGGGCAGAAAGGGAATAACGGTTTTCATATCACCCATCCAACTATATATTTCGATTACTAAGCAAACTTTACATTTTAAGTTGTTTAAAAATATTACTAACCATTTCCCACTTTCAAAGCATTGTAGTAAGACCTGAGGAGGAGTATGGAAAGATTAGGAGTTTGTTGTATATTTGTCATGACTCCACGTACACCCATAAATCCAGAAAAATTAGCAAGATCAACCCGAAGCATCTCTGGTTGATGACATAAGTGTTAAGGGTATTGAACGTAAATGAGATGATCAGGGAAACTACCTGGCGGACGGGAATACAAAACAGACACACCGGCCCTCACTGGTCCCCCCTCTCGGCACCGGGGGAAGCCAGCAAGCAGGTCACACCAGCTGCGTGCCACACATTGCCGACGGCGACGGCTCGTTGAGCGAACCATCTAGGTGGCCTCCCTCAGATGGCCGGCTTTGGGGTCCTGCAAGTGTATCTAACTGGGCACACAAAGCATTCTCCAAATAGTTCACATGAGAATGACTGAACTAGAGTGTCGTTTTTTTAAACCATGTTCTCAGTTTGCTCATTCATTCAAGACATATTTCGCAAGCTTTACCACCTGGCAGTCCCTATTCTAGGCCATTAACAAATCAGTGCACAAAAACAGAGTCCCAACCAGCCAGGAAGTGACAGGTCAGTGCTATGGAACAAGAAGGCGGGGGGGGGGGGGGGGGGTGTTGGGAGAGGGCTGTAGGGGTGAGATTGGGAGACCTCACTGAGAGGAGAGAGCCCAAGCTGGGGGGTCTGGGGAAAGGTTCTGGGTCCAGGAGGAGCTGTAAGGAGCCAAACCCTGAGGGGAGCTGCGTGGAGTGTCCAAGAACAGGGAGCCCAGGGAATCCGATTCTATACAGCCCCCAAAGCCTTCTTCAGGACTTTGTTTTTAACTCAGAGTGTGATGAGAGGTCAACCAATAATGTAAGATACTAAACAGCCCAGCTGGCATGGCTCAATGGTTGAGCATCAACCTATGAACCAGGAGGCTGTGGTTCGATCCCAGTCAGGGCACATGCCTGGGTTGCGGGCTCGATCCCCAGTGTAGGGTGTACAGGAGGCAGCCGATCAATGATTCTCTCTCATCATTGATGTTTCCATCTCTTTCTCCCTCTCCCTTCCTCTCTGAAATCAATAATAAAATATATTTGAAAAAATCAAATTCTAAACAAACCAGCCTTGTTCACTTAGTTTACTGAAGGTTCCAAACACTCCTTTGCTGTTTTCATTGTTATTAGCCCTTCCAGTGGGACAGAAGAGTGGTAAGACCTGCCTCCCTGGGGTAACAGGGCCGCTCTGGGTGTGAGCAGGTGGAGGGTAGATGGAGCGGGAGTGGGGACCCAGGCAGAGACAGGAAGTACAGCATGATGGTGGGTGGGATGGAAGGGGTGATGGTGGTGAGAAGGGTTGAATTTTGGATATGCCCTAGAGGCAGAGACAATAGAATTTCCTGAGATGTGGGGTTAGCTACTTCAGAATGTAGGTTTTCTTTTCCAGGAAAGGGGTGGCCAACAGATCAAGAGACAAGATAGGTACAGTTCCCAGGCAGAGAGGGCAGGTCAAGCAGGGGGCCACCTGAGGAAGCAGCAGGGACAGGCAGGAGGCAGAAGGCGGGGAAGTGCAAGCAGGGGCCTTTGTTGTGGCTTCTGGGAGAAGGCAGGCAAGGCAGGGCAAGCAGGTTTAGAGATCTGGTCTGAATCACTTTCGCGGGCTCTGGGTGCAAGGGCCGCCTCTAGTTGGCTGGAGCCTAGCCCTGTGGAGAGAGTGGCCTGGATGGAAGACCCTAGAAAGAAACTGGTTGCCCTGAGGGCTCTGGGTTGGTTGGTTTGTGTATGAAAGACACGCGTGGTTGCTACCTCTAGAAATTGGTAGCCCAGGGCTAGGAGGACCCCAGATATCAAAGCGTCAGAATAAAGACACGTTCCAGAACAGCCCATTCATTTTCCCATGGTGCAGCTCCCTCTTGTGGCGAGAATTTGTTCTCATACCGCTTCTGAAATGAAGCCATAAAACAAAAACGTTAATCTAGGGATGATTTGATACATTTTAAAATCAAACATGAACTCCTGGTCAGTGTTTATTTCTGTCACCAGGTTGGACTTGGACTAGCCCAATGAAGACACCATTTCCAGGGCTTTTTTTATTTTTTAAATAAGTTCAAATTTCAAAAGGGCTAATAGTGCTTTTGGAGCCTGTAACTATGTTGAGCAAAGTTGGTTTATCCTTTAAAACAAACTAAAGCATTTTTGCCCGGCCAGCATGGCTCAGTGGTTAAGCGTCGACCTATGAACCAGGAGGTCACGGTTCAATTCCTGGTCAGGGCACAGGCCTAGATTGTGGGCTCAATCCCCAGTGTGGTGCATGCAGGAGGCAGCTGATCAATGGTTCTCTGTCATCATTGATGTTTCTATCTCTCTCCCCAGCCCCCCTTTCCCTTCCTCTCTGAAGTCAATAAAAATATTTTTTTAAAAAATAAAGCATTTTTATGTCACATAGCTCTTGACTATCTACCTGGGTAGAGCACAGTTTTCTGCGAAACATGGATTATGATCACATTAACCCTAAATCAACCAAATCTTCTCTGATCTATCCTTTTTTTTTCCCTAATGGGTCAGCTATGGTGTGGTAAGAACCACAGATCACCAGGGGAAGTTACCTTCCAGTTACCCATGTGCACAAACTGCAAAATTACAAGGAGGTGTGTAAGGACACCTTCACCTACAGGCAGCTCCCCCAGTTTCTCCTAGACTCTAGCTCCTAGTCAGAGCAGAGTAATATAGTTTCTCCAAAACAAGGAAATCTTAAGTCGCTTAAAATAAAAACTGGAGCTGTATTCAAGCTTACCATGTGAACAGGATACACCCGAGGGGCAGTGTGTCCATCCCACACCTAGAAATTGTTCCCTACAAGGAAACTAATTTATCTCAATAAGATAGAGATATTAGAGACATTTCTAGAGATTTCTTTACACAGTAGAGCATGTATGCGTGGGGGGGCGGGATAAGGTGGGAGGGGAATACCACTTATCTAGGTAAGACTTGCATCACACAGGACATAGCCAAAAACCTGAAGACAAGTGACCCTGAGCAGCCAATAACCATTTAGAAGTCCGTGCCCTTTGCTCTGTGGAACTGCCCCAACACAGCCACGTGGACGTCAGGCTCCAGCCTCAGAACCTCTGCCCCAGCAGGAGACGGATGGGAGAAGCATTAGAAAAATGCAGCCGGTTTTCTAGAAGGCTTTTCCAGGTTCTCAGCACGGTAGCTTGAAACCTGTGACCTGAACCATCTCCGCCTGCGTTCCGCTCCTCAGCTTCAGCAGGCAGATCCCTGGGCCCCTCCCAGAGATCCTGCCCGTGGGCCGAGTCCCGGGCAGCACACGGAAAGCCTGCTGTTCCCGCTTTCCGTGCAGGCCAGCGATGCTCAGCATGACACTCCTGAGCAGTTAAGATCAAAGTAAGTGCTCTGCCTGGTGAAACGTAAAAGTTGCTCTCTGGGAGCCGTGTTCTGATCAGGGCAGAGATATCGAAAGTCACCAGAAAAGGGGGGAATGGCTCTCAAACCAGCAAGGCTTGATTTGATAAAATATCTTTAAAAGCAATCAGGATGTTTGCTTTTAAGGCAAAGTCCAATGCAGGAAGTGAAGAAAGTGGATGGGGATGTACATAAAACCAGACTAGCTGTGTATGGATGATGGTGGAAGCTGGTGATGGTGACATGGGTTCATTCTCGTATACTGTGTGTTTTTATGTTTCCAAATCTCCATAATAAAAAGTTAAAGAAAAAAGAGAACGTTATTAACTACTAGAGGCCTGGTGCACAACATTTGTTCACTGGGGGTGGGGGAGGATAGGGGAGTATCCTTCAGCCCGGCCTACGTCCTCTCGCAGTCCAATACCCCTCGGGGGATGTCCGCCTACCGGCAGTTAGACATCCCTCTCGCAGTCAGGGGCTCTCACAGTCCAAGACCCCTCACTCTTTACTGCCCACCTGTAGTGGAGAGGCTTCCGCCACCGACACTGGGCTTGCCAGCTGTGAGCACAGCTTGGGGCTGAGCAGCGCTCCCCCTATGGGAGCACACTGACCACCAGGGGGCAGCTCCTGCATTGAGTGCCTGCCCCCTGGTGGTCAGTGCACATCATAGCAACCGGTCGTTCCACTGTTTGGTCAGTTTGAGTATTAGGGTTTTATTATATAGGATAAACATATTCAAACACCAGTGTCACAGGGGCCAACACTACCTGTCATAATTCTGCCCACGTAATTGCCTTCCTTGAATTTCCCAGGCTCATTGGCAAACTAATCCCTACTGTGAACTAGATCCGTTAGCATTAAATGTTCCATGTATGTCAGTGAAAACTCCCTTGTTCTCATTCCTGGAGAAAACATTCGGATGGTGCTAGCACAGCTCCTCAATCCACAGTCATCGTCTGCATTACCTGTGACCAGACCAGGATTCTGGTTTTGATTCTAGGCGTATTACGAAGAATTAGAAAAAGTTTACCATCTAAGATAATATGACTGGTAAACCCACTTAAACCAGGCACAGGTACGCACAGACTGTCACAGCCCACGGAGAGCGAATGCACAGCGAGGGGCTGAGGTTCACCTCCCACAGTGTGGACTGCAGGATCAGGACGCCTGATTCCACATGTGCAAGGCATGTGTCCGTTTGACATCCAGTGTCCACCATGTACTAAATATTAGCAAGGCTGGGTTTCTCTGACTATACTTACCTCATCTGTATTCCTGCAAACACAAAACCTCTAATGTCCTTCCCACACTCCAGCAAGTTGCCTCCACCTCTCCTGGGGTGCGTGTTCTTGTCATTGTTCTGTTTGATGAAACAATATTTCCTAGTATAACAGAAGACACTGTTATTTTAATTTTTTCTTCTCATTTTAAAAAAGACTTCTGTCCATTCTACTGTCTGATGA